CTTACTATTTCTCTATCTCACATGTGGATTTTGAGACTATATCTCTTGAAGATATTATTGTGATGGCAGGCACAGAAAAATATATATTCATCAGGAATGACGGCTTATAAAAGATAAATTTAAATAATGGTACTTCCTTGCCTAACTCCCTAGGCTCCTCTGAAATTACCATCTACAATTTCTAGACGAATACTTCCCCCCCTTTTTACCGTTTAAAAAAACTAAAACAAAGGAAACATGGAACTATTTTGAATGATAAAATACATTCATCTTTCTCATCACTAGGTATTGCTCGCCTATTGTATTTCCACAATTTACAAAGTCAGCCTCGCTGTAATCGTGTTTTTTAAAAGTTATACAAGTTATCTAACTAATCACACACAAATATAATTTAATTTGATGTTTGAATAGAGATTAGACTCTGGTCCATTTGAAACCGGTAGTTATACCACTCTTTGCCCAACCACAAATAGGTATATTTTTACTGCGATAGTTTTCTTCCACATGTCAATAATTTGAGGGTATCACCTATAGGGTTTCTTACAAACTGCCCCAGGATATACTGAGAAAATATTCCTACTATGTTTCGTGACATAGCCAATGCATTGTGTATTCTGCAAGGGTGATATTTTAATGGTGCTGTTTGAATAAGGATTTGAGGTCTGGGAGGAGTAACTTTAAACGAACATTCAGCTCTCTATCAGAGTATCAAGTCCCCCGAGGGGCGCTGATTCCCGCCTCAATGTTTTTCATTTCTGTTTGCAGCAAGGAAAGGAGGGTTTTGTACAGCTCTGCTCCGTGGCTCTGTCACTGTGCTCTCTGCAGGGCGCAGTAATACACCGCGGTGTCTCCCAGCTCCAGGGCTGCGATGTTCAAAACTGTGGCGCTCATCAGCCTGGGACTCAAAACATATATTCTTTTAGTCAGCTTTAATCTCTGAAAATCGAATGCAGCAGGGCTGGGAGGGTTTTTGTACAGCTCTGCTATGTGGCTCTGTCACTGTGCCAGACGCAGGGCGCAGAGATACACCGCGGAGTCTGCCAGCTCCAGGGCTGCGATGCTCAGAACTGTGGAGCTGTCATCAGCCTGGGAAGAAAACTTCCCCTTGGCGAAATCTGCGCTATGGCTCTCACCTCTGGCCTGCTTCACTCCTCTCCGGAGAATGTACTGCGGGGCTTGGTTGGGAAATTGGCGGTACCAGTAGAGATAGACGTAGCCGGTATAGCTGGTATCATAGGAACAAGTGAGGGTCACAGTGTCTCCTTCTCTCCCAGAGAGGTGGGGTTCCCTAGACTGGACCGAGTCCCCCAGCGCAGCACCTGCAACAAAACAATCCAATTGGAGGACATCATTTCACCTGTACCAGACTCACCATGCGGTTCCAGGTTCATTGCCGTGTGAGACTTGCAATTTCGAGGAACGTTAAAGGTTTAGGCGCCCGACGGGATTAAATTAGATTTAGGGCTGGACTAGAGTTAAGGGTTTGGCATTGCCATTCGATTTGGGGTTAGCTTTGGAGTTTAGGGTCATGTTGAGAGTCAGGGGTCCAGATAAGGCTGAATGCTGGTGAGAATTTTAACTTCCTTAGACCCCTCAGAAACCCCAGCCTGTTTACCTAGGAGATTAAATAGCCAAATGCTGAATATATAATATGGCTCCATGATTTTTTTCCTGTTGTGACTAAGTAGGACGCACCAGATACCGCTGCTAAGAAGAATCTAAATTTCAGGGCTCTGCAATCAGCTACAACTGAGGAAGGTTCATCAGCATCCGGCCTAGTGGAGGCGGGAGGGGGGTTGGGAAACTCCTAACAGACACAGGAAATGCGGTGAGTTCTGCTGAGTCTGCAGCTGACAACGTGGTGACATTGAGGTGAGAAGAACGAGCCGGTGGTTAAGGCTCTGGGCTGGGACTCAAGAGACTTGGCATCGGTTCCCAGGTTTGCTACAGGCAAGCCAGTTAATATCTCTGTGACTCCTTTTCCCTACCTGTGTAAGAGAGATGGACATGTTTCTCTCCCTCACTGGGGCATTGTGAGGATAGATAGCTCGAAGCGCTCCGGTATCATTCCGAAGAAGAACCACACAAGTAAGTAGATTTTAATAATGAAATCTGGAATTTTCAAAACATAAGTTCAATGAGAGTTGAATGCCTAACTCACTTAGATTCCTGCCACATTTTTACAACAATTATTTTAATATTAGTTTGTCTTTTTCTACAACTGTGAGCGGGTCTCTCTCTCCCTCCCTCTCTCTCCTCCTTGTTAAAGTACATTTTAACAAATAGTTCTCAATAATCAAACCTCCGTTTCCCCCAAATATACATAGAGAAAATTTCTTTAATCCTGCACATTATTTAAAAGTAATACAAGGGAACAATATACTCTAACAAACCACTCTACCAAACAAGATTTGTTTTATGGTTTAATAGTGATCTGACTCTGTGACAGTTGGGACATGTAACTTAACCCCACTATACCCATCCAAAACTGAGAATATTTTATTAAAATATCCCACCCAAATTTTAACACATAGTTCGTGACAATTGGAATTTTTTTACATTTCCTTTTAATTAATTAAGTAATTTATTTATTTATTACAACTAGACCAGTGTAAACACAGAAACTAATTCCCTGGCTATTTTCATCCCGTTTATATTCTCCAAGGGCGATATTATAATACAACTATTTATAGCTCTATAAAATTGATAGAAGTCTATAAAATAAAGACTGGAGTTGAGAAAGTAAATAAAGAAGTGTTATCTACTCCTCATAACACACGAACTAGGGGGTCACGAAATGAAATTAATATGTAGCAGATTTAAAACAAAAAATGAAGTATTTATTCACACAACCCACAGTCAACCTGTGGAACTCCTTGCCAAAGGATGTTGTGAAGGCCAAGACTATAACAGGGTTCAAAAAAGAACTAGATAAGTTCATGGAGGATAGGTCCATCAATGGCAATTATCCAGGCTGGGCAGGGATGATGTCCCTAACCTCTGTTTGTCAGAAGCTGGGAATGAGTGACAGGGGATGGATCACTTGATGATAATCTGTTCTGTTCATTCCAGGGCCAGCTCCAGGTTTTCTGCCGCCCCATGCAGCAGGGGAAAAAAAGCGGATGGGCGACATTTCGGCAGCAGCTCAATCCCGCTGCACCATTCTTAGGCGGTGGGTCCTTCACTCCCTCTCTTCCTCTTGGTCAGAACTTTGGTGGCAGCTCAAAGAGGAAGGGAGGGACTGAGGGACCCGCTGCCAAATTCCCACCGAAGACCGGACGTGCAGCCCCAAGAGTGGTTGGACTGCCGCCCATTTGTATTAGCCGCCCCAAGCACCTGCTTCCTTAGCTGGTGCCTGGAGCCGGTCCTTGTTCATTCCCTCTGGGGCACCTGGCATTGGCCACTGTCGGAAGGCAGGATACTGGGCTAGATGGACCTTTGATCTGACCCAGGATGGCCGTTTTCTTACCTTCGTATGTTTGCACAGGAATTTGCTTTTGGGAGGAATCGGAAGGAATACCTTGACACCAACAAAAGTATTCCTAATTATGAGTTTCTTAACAGGATAACAAATCTGCCAAGGGCCCCTATGTCCAGCCTCAGTGTGTGTGTGTGTGTGTGTGTGTGTGTGTGCCTAACCTCAGCTGCAGCAAGGCTGGGAGGATTTTTGTACAGTTCTGGCATGTGACTCTGTCACTGTGCCCGCTGAAGTGCGCAGAGATACACCGCTGTGTCTGTCAGCTCCAGGGCTGTGATGTTCAGAACTGTGGAGCTGTCATCAGCCTGGGAAGAAAACCTCTTCTGGGCGAATTCTGCAGTATTGCTCTGACCTCTGGCCTGCTTCACTCCTCTGAAGAGAATGTACTGCGGGGCTCGGCCGGGAAACTGACGGTACCAGAAGAGATACACGTAGCCGGTAGAGCTGGTATCATAAGAACAAGTGAGGGTCACAGAGTCTCCTTCTCTTCCAGACAGGTGGGGTTCCCTGGACTGGACCGAGTCCCCCAGCGCAGCACCTGCAACAAAACAATCCAAGTTAAGGATTTCACCTGCACCTGACCCGCAGAGGCGGCTCCAGATGCATTGCGGTGTAAGGCTCGAAATTTCGAGAAACCATACGGGATTTAGGCGCCCGACGGCCATTAAAAGAAGGTTAGGACTAGACTAAAGGAAAAGTTTTGGCATTGCCGTTAGATTTAGGGTTAGCTGTAGGGTTTAGGGTCAGGTGGACAGTCAGGGCTCCATATAGGGTTGAATGGTAGTAGGACTTATAACTTCCAGGCTGTTTACCTAGATTACTAAATAGCCAAATGCTGAATATATAATAAGTCTCCATGATTTTTTCCTATGGTGACTAAATGGGAGGCACCAAATACGGCTGCTAAGAGGACTGTAAACTTCAGGGCTCTGCAGGCAGCTACACCTAACTGGAGAAGGTTCATCAGCATCCGGCCTAGTGGAGGCAGGAGGGGGGTTGGGAAACTCGTAACAGACACAGGAAAGCGGTGAGTTCTGCTGAGTCTGCAGCTGACAAAGTGGTGACACTGAGGTGAGAAGAATGAACCAGTCATTAAGGCTCCGGGCTGGGATACAGGAGACCTGGTAGTGGCTTCGGTTCCCAGATCTGCTACGGCCCCCCTCTATGACCTTGGGCGAAACAATTAATATCTCTGTAACGCCCTTTCCGTACCCGTGCAAGGGAGATGGTCTTGTTTCTCTCCCTGTCCGGGGAACCGTGAGGATAAATATCTTGAGGCACTCAGATATCATTCGGAAGAAGACTATACAAGTAAGCAGACGTTTAACAATGAAATCTGGAAATTTCAAAGGAGGAATTCAGAGAGAGGGGGAGAGGTACCTAACCCCTTAGATTCCTTTGAAATCCCCAGCCACGTTTTTAGGAAAAGTGGATCTAGTGTCCTTAGATTTTCAGAAAGCCTTTGATAACGTACCTCAGCAAGGACTCTTAAGCAAAGTAAACTGCCATGGGATAAGAGGGAAGGTCCTCTCATGATTCGGTAACTGGTTAAAAGATAGGAAACAAAGGGTAGGAATAAATGGTCAGTTTTCAGACTGGAGAGAAATAAATAGTGGTGGTGTCCCCCAGGGTCTGTTCTGGGACCAGTCCTATTCAACATGTTCATAAATGATCTGGAAAAAGGAGTAAACAGTGAGGTGGCAACATTTTCAGATGATACAAAACTACTCAAGATAGATAAGTCCCAAGGAGACTGCAAAGCCCTACAAAAAATCTCACAAAACTGAGTTACTGGGCAACAAAATGGCAGATGAAATTCAAAGTAATACACATTTGAAAACATAATCCAAACTATATATATAAAAATGATAGGGTCTAAATTAGTTCTTACAATTCAAGAAAGAGATCTTGGAGTCATTGTGGATAGTTCCCTGAAAACATCCATTCAATGTGCAGCAGCAGTCGAAAAAAATAAAAAGAACAGAATGTTGGGAATCGTTAAGAAAGGGACAGATAATAAGACACGTATATCATATTGCCTCTATATAAATCCATGGTATGTCCTCATCTTGAATACTGCACGCAGATGTGATCGCCCCATCTAAAAAAAAAGATACATTAGAATTGGAAAAGTTTCAGAAAAGGGCAACAAAAATATTAGGGGTATGGAACAGCTTCCATAGGAGGAGAGATTAATAAGTCTGGGACTGTCAGCTTGGAAAAGAGACGACTAAGGGGGGATATGATAGAGGTCTATAAAATCATGACTGGTTTTGAGAAGGTAAAGAAGGAAGTGTTATTATTACTTTTCATAACACAAGAACTAGGGGTCACCAAATTAAATTATTAGGCAGCAGGTTTAAAACAAAAAAGAAGGTGTTTTTTTTCACACAAAGCACAGTCAACCTGCGGAATTCCTTGTCAGAGGATGTTGTGAAGGTCAAGACTATAACAGGGTTCATAAAGAACTAGATAAGTTCATGAACGATAGGTCCATCAATGGCTAATAGCCAGAATGGACAGGGATGGTGTCCCTAGCCTCTGTTTTCCAGAAGCTGGGAACGGGCCACAGGGGATGGATCACTTGATGATTCTCTGTTCAGTTCATTCCCTCTGGGGCACCTGGCATTGGCCACTGTCTGAAGACAGGACACTGGGCTAGATGGACCTTTGGTCTGACCCAGGATGGCCGTTTTCTTACGTTCTTACGTTAGCTCGGGAATTTGCTTTCGGGAGGAATCGGAAGGATACCTTGACACCACCAAAACTATTCCTAATTATGAGTTTCTTAACAGGATAACAAATCTGCCAGGGGCCCCTATGTCCAGCCTCTGTGTGTGTGTCTAACCTCAGCTAGAGCAAGGCTGGGAGGGTTTTTGTACAGCTCCGCCATGTGGCTCTGTCACTGTGAGCGCTGCAGGGCGCAGAGATACACCGCGGTGTCTGCCAGCTCCAGGGCTCTGATTGTTAAAACCGTTGAGCTGTCATCAGCCTGGGAAGAAAACCTCTGCTGGGCGAAACTTGCAGTATGTTGGTACCTGCTTCCCTTAGCGCCTTTCTGGAGAATGTACTGCGGGGCTTGGTTGGGATACTGGCGGTACCAGTAGAGAGAGAGGGAACCGGTATAGCTGGTAGTGTAAGAGCAGCTGAGGGTCACAGAGTCTCCTTTTATTCCGGACACTTGGGGGTCCTTGGAGTGGACCGAGTCACCCAACGCGGCACCTGCAACACGAGATTTAAACCCAAGTACAGCAAGTTAATTGCACTTGAGCCAGGGAAAGGTGTGCTGCGCTTTACGCGGGCATTTCAGAGGCGATTAGGGGGTTTAGGCGCCCAGCACCAGGTGAATTAAGGATAGTGTCAGGGATAGAGTTTAGTGGTAGGGTATCGGTTTAGAGTTGGTGTTTGGGTTAGGAAAAGTTTTAGAATTAGAGTGAGAGTTGGGTGCCTCGTTTCCTTAGGATGCTCTGAAAACCCCCAGGCTGCTTACCTAGGTGAATCAACAGCCCAATGCTGATAATGAAACGCGCCTCCATGGTTTCTTCTCTAGCGACCGATTCTGACGGTCTCAGCTGTTGCTGCTGGTCACAGGAAAATTAACTTCACGCCTCTGAAGACAGCTGCAGGCGGGGAAGGTTCATCAGAAACCAGCCCAAGGGACGAAGGAGGGGTTCGGGACTTGAAACACGCTGGGTTCAGGTTAGTCTGTAGCTGACAGCAAATTAGCGAGGGAAGGTTGGGTTTGTGGTTGGAACCCTGGTGGGAGACCTGGTTCCTGTCTGCGCCACAGACTCCCTGTGTGATCTTAGACAAGTCACTTAACAGCTCCGTGCCTCAGTTTCTCTCTATGATGATCATCATACTTCTCTAGCTCATTTTGGACTTGTGAGTATAAATATCTCCAGTCACTCCAATTATACTGTAATTGGGATCACATTAGTACTCACCCCGCTTTAGTAGGAATACAGTCTGGGATTTTCAAAGGAGAAATTTAATGGGATTTTCAAGCCTAAATCCCTTAGCCTCCTTTGAGATTCCCAGCAAAAATTCTTGGAAGAATTATTTTAAATTGCTTTTGTCGGCTGCCTAATAAAACCTGAAAATAAGGGTGTATGGAAGGATTTCAAATTACAATGCGTATTTATACTTCTTACCACCAGATGGCGCAGAGACAAGAGGTTGCCTAAATTATATTTTTCAACATTGAGGTCAATTAGCCACTGGAACAATTTAGGAAGTGTTGCAACTTTTAAATCAAGGTGGGATTTTTCTCCCCTGAAAAGCTGTGTTGTTGCACAAACAGGAATTAATTCAGGGAAGTCCCATGGCGTGTGTTGTGACAGATATGGCAAATTCCTTCAATATCCATGAAAACCCTTAGTGTGTTAAGTATCAGAGGGGAGCCGTGTTAGTCTGGATCTGTAAAAAGCAACAGAGAGTCCTGTGGCAGCTTTAAGACTAACAGATGTAGTGGAGCACAAGCTTTCGTGGGTGAATGCCCACTTCATCAGACGCAAGAAGTATGACGAAGTGGGCATTCACCCACGAAAGCTTATGCTCCAGTACTCCTGTTAGTCTTAAAGGTGCCACAGGACCCTCTGTTGCTTTTTAGTGTATTCAGTTTAAGTATCTGTGGGGGGTCCATTGTATTAAATTCAGATGTTTTGCAGTAGTGTGGGCCAGTATTGTATGTAATCTCTCTAGGGGAGAGATGTGATGTGGGACTTGGGCATTCAAAGGTCTGTATTGAAGAAAGTGCAGGACCAAAAAGGACTTTGGGAACAAAAAATGTTGAGTGTTTTCCTGGGCAACATCTAGGGAGGGGTGAATGCAAATTCCTCATCAGAAACCCAGTCTTTTCAAGCTATAGGCTGAGGAGTAGGCCTGTGCCTGGTGAGCTATTAGCCAGGAAGGATGGGCAGGGATGGTGTTCCGAGCTTCTGTCTGTCATAAGCTTGCCGCTGGGGAGGGATCACTGGATGACTGCCTGTCCTGTTCATTCCCTCTGGGGCACCTGGCACTGGCCACTGTCAGAAGACAGGACACCTGGCTAAATGGACCTTTGGTCTGACCCAGAACGGCCGTTCTTATCAGCTATTTCATGTGGGAAAGACTAAAGGCCCAAGCGATATAAAGGAGAGACTAGATGACTTGTTCTGGATCAGAGTTCAGAGGCAGTTATGCCCCACGTGGGAAAACCCATTTCTGGGTTTAGAAGGACTGATACCTAGGTTGGAATCAGGGGCGACTCCTGATAAGCCCTTTAGCATGCGGGTAGGTTATTTGGTTGTTCTAATGTTTTTTTTTTCTGTAACGGTTTCACCCTAAAAATACATGTGCTGGCTTAGAAACAGCTGCCTGGTAACTTGTAATGGTGTCAATGACGCTGGTCATTCCCTCTGGAGAGAAAGCAAGGACAGGAAGCTGGCTGCTTGGGCAGTCTGGCTTGCTGGGGCTATGCCAGTGTAGGCAGGGAACTGAAGCACGTGATCAGGAGTGGGGGAGAGAGGCGGATGTAGGTGATCAGTGTGGTCCCTTATTGGCTTTATAAACTAGGATTGAGGGTTTCCGTTTGGGGTTTTTTGGAAGGAGTCACACCAAACCAATACAATCCCTCCCCAAAAGCCTCTGCTGTGATGTTGTTCTGAGAGGGAAGCTGCTTTCCGCTGCAGGGGGCGCCTAACCTCAGCTGCAGCAAGGACAGGAGGGTTTTTGCACGTCTCCGCTATGTGGCTCTGTCACGGTGCCAGACCCAGGGCGCAATAATACACCGCTCCGTCCGCCACCTCCAGGGCTGTGATGTTTAAACCTGTGGAGCTGTCGTCAACCTGGGAAGAAAACCTCTCCTGGGCGAAATCTGCGGTGTCACTGAAAGCTCTGGCATCCTGGGCTCCTCTCCAGAGAATGTACTGCAGGCCTTGGTTCGGATCCTGGCGGTACCAGTGGAGATAGACAGACCCAGTATAGCTAGTAGTGTAAGAACAGCGGAGTGTCACAGCGTCTCCTTCAGCTCCGGACACCTGGGTTTCCTCGGACTGGACCGAGTCGCTCAGCACCGCACCTGCAACAAGACCAGCACATTCAAGGGCGTAATTTCAACTGCACTTGAGACATAGACCCTCCTGGACGCATTGCGGTTGGAGGCTGGGAGTTCTAACGGAGCTAGGCGCCCAAACCCAGTGGAATACAGGATACGGTTCGGTTACATTTCAGGCTTCAGTATGAGCATAAGGATAATGTTATGGCTTAAGTTAAATCTTAGGGTTAGGATTCATGGAACGGGTTAGGGTTTATAGGTCTCTGAGTAAGGAAAATGTAAAAGTTGTGTTTCAATGGGCGTCTAACTTCCCCACACTCCTTTGAAAATCTCCGTCTATTCACCTTGGTAGTTAATTATCCAAATGCTAAGGATAAAACATGTCCCCATCATGTCTCCCACAGCCACCAAGTTTGTGGCTCTCCGATGCTGCTGAGAAGAGAAATCTGAACTGAACGTCTCCGAAGGCAGCTACATTAGGGGAACTGTAACAAAACACCAGCCTTTAGAGGAAATAGGAGGAGTTTGGGGAACTCTTGACCTGAACTCAGCGTGTTTCCTGTGTCAGTGAACCTCCTGTTGAAGCAGGTATGGGAATGGCAACCTACCTTGATGGAAAAAGTTAACCTAGATGTGAACGCCCCTGGGTTTAAACTCGGGACACCTGGGTTCACTTCAGATTCCCTACCAAAATTACTTGCCCAGGGTTAGCAAAATAATCTAAACTCCTCACTTACATTGGGGTGGGGGCAAATAACATCGCTAAATCACATGTGATTTCTGAGGATCATCAGTTTTCAGGAGCTTATATGCAACTGTAGGGGATATAATTCCACAGAAAATTCCATAGAAAAATTCATTAAACAGATAGAGTGGGATTTGAACAGGATGAATTCAGAGGTAGCTGGGCTTGGAAATCCCAGCTGAAATTCTTGGCAGAATTACTTTATTTTTTTCTTTCGTTCGTTGTCTTTGCTGTCACTGATTTTAAACCTAAAATACAACACAACAGGGAAGCGTTTTCAAAAATCAACTTGTTTCTATACCAGGGGGTAGCCGTGTTAGTCTGTATCTACAAAAACAACAAGGAGTCTGGTGGCACCTTAAAGACTAACAGATTTATTTGGCATAAGCATTCGTGGGTAAAAAAGAAGTGAGGTTTTTACCCACGAAAGCTTATGCCCAAATAAATCTGTTAGTCTTTAAGGTGCCACCAGACTCCTTGTTGTTTTTGTGTCTAAACTTTTTACCAGTAGGTGACGCTGTTTTTCCATGAGTTCACCACTCAACATACAGAGCATTGCTTGAATCGTGCGGGCCTTTTAAAAAATGATGCACCGGAAAGAGAGACTCCCAGCAAATCAGCACAAAATGCATGTTTGTCTTAGATTTCAATACTGGATTCTCTCGACGAAGCACCTCCACAGCAGGTCCATTAATGTTCACCATGTTTCACATTTTTTTACTCTCGTTTTTACCTCAAAGAGGTAATTTTAACAGTATTATAATTGTCAGATTTTAACCCACATTTTGTCAAATTGGATATACATTTTTACCACATCTGGCCAATATGTGCCGCCGCTGTATCTGAGAAACGACTTTTAAGACCAATAAGGCGCATTTTAAAACAGTGTAAACAGTCTCCTTCAGAGCACTGCCCCCAGCTGCAATGTCTACAACACTTTCCGCTGTGAGGAAGGAAGTGGTTTTGTACGGCTCTGCTCCGTGGCTCTGTCACTGTGGGCGCTGCAGGGCGCAATAATACATCGCTGTGTCCGCCAGCTCCAGGGCTGTGAGGTTCACAAGTGTGGAGCTCTCGTCAGCCTTAGAGAAAAATCTCTCCTTGGCGAAATCTGCAGTATCGCTGTAAGTGCTGTTTGTCCCTCTCCGGGGAATGTACTGAGGGGCTCGGCTAGGAAACAGGTGGTACCGGAAGAGAGAGATGCCAGCAGTGTCACTGGTATTGTAGGAACAGCTGAGTGTCACAGTCTCCCCTACCGACCCAGACACGTCGAGTACCTTGGACCGGACCGACCGAGTCGCCCAGTGCAGCACCTGCAACAAGACCATCAGGTTCAAGGGGACACACTTTCAATTGCACTTGACCCATGGAAACGGTTCCAGGTGCACGACAGTTTGAGGAGTGAATTCAAAGAAATTTAAGGGACCTATGCACCTAACTACAGAGGAATTAAGGGTAGGGTTAGGGGGTGACAACAGATAAAAGGTTTAAGGTAAAGGCTAATGTTAGGGTAATCTAATCTATGCTGTGCGGTTTAAGATTATGCTTCTGGTTTAATGCGCGATGAGTGTCTAATTCCCGTAGAATCCTCTGAAAATTCAAAAACGGTTACCTAGGAGATTCACTATCCAAAACCCGAAAATAACCCGCGTCTCCATGGTGTCTCCTACAGCCACCAAACTTCTACTCTCGTATTGCTGCTGCGACAAAATAAATCTAAATTTCACTTCCCTGAGGGCAGCTCCGACTGGGGAAGGTTAATCAGCAACCAGCCGAGTGGAAGAGGGAGGAGTTTGCGGGGGAGGGGCTGGTAACAGACACAGGAAAGAAGCTGTGTCCAGGCTAGTCTGCAGCGGAAATCGTGGGGCGGTTCAGGGAAGAAAGAGGGTTTGTGAGTCAGTTTCTGGCTTAGGACTGAAGACACCTAGGTTCGGTTCCCAACTCCGACTCGCCTCCCTGTTTGCTGTTAATCGCTCTATGCCTCACTTTTCCTATCTGTAAAATGGAGATTGTAATATTCCTCCACCTCCCAGGGGTATTATGAAGATCAATAACTTGTGATGTTCAGTAGTTACTGGGTCATATAACCACCTCGATTTTTTTGCAATTCAATGGTTTTTGACCTGGTCCACGGAGGAAGGAAACCTAGACATCTAACTCTCTTAGTCTCCTTTCAGTTTTCAGACAAAACATTTCAAATAATTATATTTTATTTCCCCCCTCGCTAGAGCTTAAAACGAAGGGAACACAGAGGGATTTCAAAAGACAATAAGTAGTCACAGTTTTCAACAGAGCATGCAGCTGCTTAGACAATATACCTGGAAGACATTATTTTAACCGTAGGCATTATTGAAAAGAAATGCGAGGGAATAAGGGTTTTCTAACAAATGACATCAAAACAGAACCTTGTCTGATGCTTGAACAGTGACGTAGTTCTAGATCAGTGGGAGCCAATAATGTATTTCCCTCACACACATTTACAAAGAGCTATTTTATTACAATTATTTTACCGAGCATTTTAACCTCCATTTTGCAACGAATTAGCATATTTACATTGTTTATTATATTACAAATGATCTCAATAAATGGTGGGAAAATACTTTAAATAAGTTCCTTGACTAGACACCTGCCATTTATATTCTCCAGTGGTGGCGTTTTAATGCAGTCATTCTCAGCCAGGGGTAGGGGTACACCTGTGGGTACGGAGAGGTCTTCCGGGGGTACAACAACTTATCTAGATATTAGCCTAGTTTTACAACAGCCTACATCAAAAGCACTAGCGAAGTCAGTACACATTAAAATTTCATACAATGACTTGTTTATACTGCTCTATATTCTATACATTGACATGTAAGTGCGAGATTTATATTCCAATTGATTTTATAATTAATAGTAAAAATAAAAAGATTTTTTTCAGTAACAGTGGGCTGTGAAACTTTTATTTTTATGTCTGATTTTCTAAGAAAGCAGTTTTTAAGTGAGGTATAACATGGGGTAGGCAAGACAAATCAGACTCCTGAAAGGGGTAAGAATAGTCTGGAAAGGTTGAGAGCCATAAGAACATAGGAATGGCAGTACTGGGTCAGACGGACGATCCATCTAGCCCAGTGTCCTGTCTTCTGACAGTGCCCAATACCAGGTGCCCCAGAGGGAATGAACAGAACAGGGAATCATCAAGTGATCCATCCCCTGTCGCCCATTCCCAACTTCTGGCAAACAGGATACGGACACCATCCCTGCCAATCCTAGCTAAAAGTCATTGATGGACCTATCCTTCTTATCTAGTTCTTTTTTTAACCCTGTTATAGTCTAGGATTTCACCACATCCTCTGGCAAAGAGTTCCACAGGTTTTGACTATGCATTGCGTGAAGAAATATTTCCTTTTGCTTGTTTTAAATCTGCTGCCTAGTTATTTCATTCGGTGCCCCCTAATTCTTGTGTTAAGAGAAGAATAAATAACACTTCTCTATTTACTTTATTCACAGCAGTGGAGAATTTATAGACCTCTATCATATCCCCCCGTAGTCGTCTCATTTCCAAGCTGAAAAGTCCCAGTTTTATTTCTCTCTTCTCATGTGGAAGCCACTGTTTTAACGCAGCTGTTTGAATAAGAATTTGGCGCTTTGGAGAGATTAGGAAGGAGTAATCTGACGGCACTGCATCCGAGCCAGAATATGTGTTTTTAACAGTCCAACAAAACTCCAGAGGGGCTCCGCTTCCAATCTCAATGGGCACAACATTCTCGGCAGCAGGGCTGGGAGGGTTTTTGTACGGATCTCCTATGTGGCTCAGTCACTGTGCCAGACTCAGGGCGCAGAGATACACCGCTGTGTCCGCCAGCTCCAGGGCTGCGATGCTCAGAACTGTGGAGCTGTCATCAGCCTGGGACGAAAACCTCTCCTGGGCGAAACTTGCAGTGTCACTTAGGTGGCTGGCGGACTTCGCTCCTCTATAGAGAATGTACTGCGGGGCTTGGTTCGGATAGTGACGGTACCAGTAGAGATAGACATAGCTATCGCTGGTGGTGTAAGAACAGCTGAGTGTCACAGAACCTCCAACTGATCCAGACACTTCGGGTTCGTTGGACTGAACCGAGTTACCGAACGCAGCACCTGCAAAAAAGACAAACAGATTCACGGACGCTTCACCTGTAGTTGAGACATGGAAATGATTCCACCTCCATTGCAGTTTAAGAGAATTTCAAAGAGGTTTTAGGCGCCTGACTCCACAGGAATTACTGTTATGAGCAGGGGCAGGATTGGCGGTTAGTGTTAGGATTAAGGAGAGGGTAAGAATAAATAAGGGTTTGGGGTTATGGTGAGGGTCAGGGTGTAGCATTCGCGCTTTGGTTACAGTCTAGGGTAACGCTTAAGTACAGGGATAGGTTTATGGTTCAATGGGAATTGAGTGTCCGGTTCCCTTAGGCTTCTTTGAAATCCCAGCCCAGTTACCTAGGAGATTGAATATCCAAATGCTGAGAATAAAACACGTCTCCATAGTATCTTCTATCTATACCGACCAAGTTTCAAACTCCCAGCTCCTGCCGCTGCCTCAGAGGAACATAAACTTCACGTCTGTGAGGGCAGCTACAACTGCGGAAATTCACTAGAAACCAACGGAGAGGAAGAGGGAGTTCGGGGAACTCACCGCAGAGGCAGTGGGTTGAGGCCAGCCTGCAGCTGACATATTAGTGCTGTTAAGGGGAGGGGGATGGGCTTGTGGACAAGGGTCTGCTCTGGGACTCAGAGACCTGCTCTGCCGCAGACCCTGTGTGTGACGATGGGAAATCCTCCGTGCCTCAGTTTCCCTAGGTGTATAAAAGAGAGGGGTTTCTTCTAACTCATATAGGGAGTGTTGATATTTCATGACACAGTGAGGTATCATTGGGATGGGGGATGAACATGTTTACCAGCAATAATGTCCGGGGCTATCACAAGAAAAATGTAATGGGATGAGGCGCCCCACTCTGTTAACCTCCTTTGAAATGCTGAGCCAGAACTCCTGAAAGAATTATTTAAATTATTTTCGTCTTTCTTCTGATGCCTTTGCCCACAGCCTGAGTTAAAGTGAAGATCTATAGTCTAGCATGGAAAGGTTTCTTATGACAGCCTGTGTTTATATTTTCCACCAGCAGATAGCGATGC